GGTGGCTGACTAAATACTTTTTTGCCCCACTGTACCTAAGTATCTCTATGAGGCCACAGGGAAGCAGTTACAGTACTGTGCAGTTTCCTAAAACCAAATTGGAAAGGAGATAAAATGCTATTTTCATCCAGATAACTTTTAAACTATATGCTCATGTAAAGCTGTAAACCTGAGGAGCACGAGCCAAACAATTTCATTATGGATAAATGTGGATACACTGTTTATCCGTACATGACAATAAAATGTGAAATTTGAAACTTGAAAACTTGAAATTAATCATTAAAAAGTTTGTCATGAACCTTAGCTGAGATACAGAGTTTGGAAACTGGCCTGTAATAATTAACCATTGAAGAACCACCTTTCAGTAGGGGGAGAACAAAGGCACGCTTCCACATCTCTGGTGTTCTGTTGTATAGAAAGATTAAAACTATAACACACTGGCTCAGTAATCAGATTCATGTGAGCTTTTAGTGAACATGAGAAAAGATGGACTCTGAATTCCATGAATTACACGAAATGAAATGAAAAGTCTTACATATCAAAAATAACAAAATAACATGAACACCAGCACATAAGACTTTAATATTACCGTTATTATGTCAGTTTGTACACATGAAATGAGCAAGAAAGCAAGCAAGTGGCTGAACTTTTGCACAGAGAGTAACTGAGCAGAAACCAAAACTCTGAATAAACCAGTATTACCAGTCAAACATATTTTTACTATCAAGATGTTTCTGCTGTTGTCCTCCAAGTTCTTCCCTTTCACTTTTCATGGAAAGTTCAGTGAATTATGACTAACCACATATGTATGACCTGTTTGATTGATAGACTCCTTTTTGACACAGTACACTGGGTGATGAATGCTGACATGAGCTAATTGTCCTCCTGCTAATCGAGACCACTTTGCACAAACTACACTGTGAGAAGTATTACCTCTCACTGTCCTTATCTTCTCTATACGTATACATTCCCAAACTGGGTGGAGAAACACAATAAATCATATTATTTACATATTTACAGCCTCTGCTTTGCTTTAACATTAGTGTAGTAATATTTCATGCCACAGATGAAGCTTTCTTCTGGAGAAATGTAGCATCCATAAAATCAATAAGTCATTATTGAGAGAAAAACAATCACTCCATGATTAAACACAATGTGTCTGATAACTCTACAATACAAACTACCATGCTTCTGTCTCCCAATAAAACACAAGCTTTGTTTTACTTTAAGAAATTGTTAACAAGGAAAGACTTTACAACCTGTAGTTTAGTCATTAGGTTGTCAAAACTGCTGTAAGGTGAGACTTTCTTTCTCACAGCTCCCGAAGTCACATCTGCCCAGTCCTCCTATTCTCTCTTCACTAAAAGTTGTTGCAAAGAATGTATTTTCAGTTATATAGCTAACTTAAACTTTATATTCCCCAGCACTGCATCCTCCAAGGAACAGATGCTGTGTTGTATTTGGGAAGATTTAACGATAGGAAATGTCGTCACACTGTCTTGACGTTCTGATGACAAAGGCAAAAAAACTGTGCTCTGCATAAGCAGGGTCTCTCGCATCCCCTGGGGCGGATGAGGTTTGCCCTGAGTTCTTGAAGGCTCTGGATGTTGTAGGGCTGTCTTGGTTGACACACCTCTGCAATGTTGTGTGGAGATCAGGGGCGGTACCTCTGGATTGGCAGACAGGATGGTCGTTCCCATGTTCAAGAAGGGGGACTGGAGGATGTGCTTTAACTATATGGGGTGCTTGGTCTATGTAGCTGTCAACAAGTTGGACTCGTTTCCACTGGGTTTTGGACTCGGCCAGGCCTGCCCTTTGTCATCGATACTGTTCAAATCCACTTGGGCAAAATAAGAATCTCATCTTAGCTTTTTTGCATATGATGTGGTTCTGTCGGCTTCACCAGGCCGTCACCTGATGTGTGAAAGGCGCTCGCCTTCGTTTTTATTCATAAAGTGTTTTACAAATAAACCCAAAGATTACAGCTAACAGCTGGATTTCCGGTTTGAGTGCAGCTAGCCAAACAGGAAATAGCCACTTACTGTTAAAGAGACTGATAGTGGACAGCATTACCTTGGTTTCTTAAGCCTTGGCAGCACAAAAGTGATCCCCTTAAACAGATTTTTTTAGCTTTAGTGTCCTTATGTTCCTCTTAGTTATCGATTCTGACACTTGTTAGCTAAAATAAATGTTATTCTATTAGCCCCAACCAACCACATGACATCATAGTCCATACTGACAGAAGTATGTTTTAAATCTTTAACTTTAAGCACTTATTTCTTAAATCCAACTTCACAGACAGAGTCACATCTAGGTCAGCATTTCAGAGCAGAGCTCTGTGATGTAAATTAGCCTGTATGTGTTAAGCGTTTCATGTACCCTTTAATAACAGTCCACATTATTATCAACAGCTACATTCACCCTGGGGGGAAAACTTGTGAAGGAGACCATCAGGACCAAGCTGGGTTTCCTGGGTTCAGATGTTATTTTATTTCAATTTCTTTCATTGCAGCTGTCCTGTGCCAGATGTTCTGTTGACACACAAGAGTAAAGGTCGTAACAGGGATCAAGCAGGACTCATAGTCTTCTTCAGACCTCCACTGTAGGATGAGAAGACAGGAAAAGATGGACAAACCTAGCACTTCATTAACAGTGTGAT